GGAAACTGTCTACCTGTGGTTAATGCCATGCATGACTCTGCCAGAGATACCTTATACCTGAGGCATGAGCAGGGATGCCTGGAGAAAGGAGATCGCCTTTTCATGACTGAAGGCCTGGTCAGGGCCAGCACAATAGAGTTTTCCTGCCTACGGTGAAGGTCAAGCTGCCCCTGCAGATCAACATACAGAAGCAGATTGACCTGGCAGCTGGTGCACCTGAGGGCAGCAGCCTCAGTCAAAGCTACACATAGCTCTGCCTTCCAAGCTGTCCCTACAGCTCCCAGGTGGCCACTTCACTCTGCCTAAAAGGAATGTGGGCTAGGTGATGACACACCTGGCTTTGGTCCAGATAAGAAAGTGGGACTAAACTAGGGGTTCTTGATGGGAATGTCTTTCCCCCAAGCCTCAAAATGGCAGCCCCCATCCAACCCCGCTTTACTACTCCAGCTCCTCCCGAGAAAGCCCTGCCCGCTGGAGCTGGAGGGGAATCTGTCAGAAGGAGGCAGGAGCCCCGCTACTCTCCAGGGAGCGGCGAGCTGGCGGGCCTCAGTGTTTGCACCGCAGAGCCGGCAGAACCTGCCCAGCGTGGGCTCCCGCAGCTGGCCTCGGCGGGATTACTCCAGAGTAACAGCAGCTGCACCCACCAAGGCCACTCTTATCCGAGGCGTGTGGGCGGCAAAGGAGCTTTCCTCGCCCCGCCTGACCCCGTGCGCTCCGCAAAGGTGCTAAGAGCCTCCCCGGCGCAAACGGGAGCCCCGCCACCACCGCCTCCTCGCCAGGTGACTCGGCCTCCGATGCCCAGCCCGAGGAAGGGGAAGGAAGAGGACACGGGGTGGCAGCACACACAGCCACGCCAAGACGTTTCTTGCCTCCCCCGCTTGGAAAGGCAAAAGCCAGTCCGGGGCCGCCAGCCTTGGAACGTTTAGCCGCAGCCGAAACTGGGAGTCGCACTGGTTTAATAATCCCCAAGCAAAGAAGCGCCTGTTCTTGAGGGGCGGGGTGTGCGTCCTGCGTGGGCGGGTCGGCGGGGCAGAATTGGGGCAGGGAAGAAGGCGGTGCCACCGGATTCGACGTCATCTCCTGGGGCCTGACTTGTCCAACCTCCGCAGGCCAAATGAATGGATGGAACTTTTCTCTCTGAGCGAAGCCCGCTAAACAACCGAAGCAGAGGGAGAGAGGAATCGCCAAAGGCCAACCAAAATGTCACAAATTAGTGAGCAGAGGTGGTCGTTTTTGATTTTTAAGTCTACCATAACTACTACTTTAAAAAAAACAAACAAACCAGGATAGAATATTAAAGCAATCCCCCAAGCGAAGAAGCGCCTGTTTGTGTGTCCAGAAATGGAAAGAAGTCCCAGCGAAAAAATGGATACAAAAACTTATGGATTATGCAGAAATGGCGAAACCTACCGGAAAAATAAAAAATCATGATAGCAATCTTTTTATAAAAGAATGGAAATGGTTTATTGGATATTTACAAATATGAACAGATAAGAACATTGGCAGGATTCTTGTAATAACCTGTGTTATAAAAAAAGGTAAAGGACTCCTGACAGTTATGTCCAGTCGTGAATGACTCTGGGGTTGCAGCGCTCATCTCGCTTTACTGGCCGAGGGAGCCGGCGTTTGTCTGCAGACAGTTTCTCTGGGTCATGTGGCCAGCATGACTAAGCCGCTTGAATAAATGAGCAAATTAAATTAATTTGGAAATGCAGAAAGTATTAAAAATAAATTTAAGGAACCGCAGAAAGAGGAGGAAGGAAGTCGTGTTTCGAAATGTTAAAATGATTGTAAAATTATTGAAATGTATAAAACTGAAAAATCATATATAAATTAATGAGAACAAGAGTATTAAAGCAAAGCTGCCTGGGGGGGGGGGGACCCGGCTTGTTACTGAATGTGTGCTTTGGTCAGAAGTTCATTTTTGCTGCATACTCTTTGAAAAGGAGCGAGGTATAGCTTGCAGGGGTTGTCGTGAAGAGGGCCTGTCCCTTCCTCCCTGAACACTACAACAAAGGAATGGAAACCAGAAAACCCTTACTGGTCAACACTTTTTGAGACTACAGAGTTGAGGCCAATGATAGTCTTGCTCGAAGTAGACCCACTGAAATTAAAGCGTAATTACTGTAATTTCAGCAGGTCTGCTCTTGAGTAAAACTTGGTTACAATCCATTTGTGTACATTATCCAGTCAGGGCCGGATTTAGGTTTGATGAGGCCCTAAGCTACTGAAGGCAATGGGGCCCTTTATATGTCCAGCTGTCCTTTGTCAACAACAAATTGTTGCTGCTTTTTGTGTTGAATATGTGCTGTATGGTAATTTATGGACCTAAATGGTATCTAAAGCCATTTGCATATAACAAATAGGAGCCTACACAACACAAAACATGTTGTTGTATGTAGGTTTTATTTTATTTGTTTTTAATCTTATATTTTGGAAATGTAAATCCAGTTGTTTCTCCCTTTAAAATTTTTTTGGGGCCCGCAAGAGAGTGGGGCCCTAAACTATAGCTTGTTTAGCTTATACATAAATCTGGCACTGTATCCAGTGCCCCTCCCCATCTCCCCCTAAAGTATCCTCCTTTCCCTTTCCATTTGTGATTATTCCTCAGGAACACTAAGAGCTCTTCTGAACTCTGGTGTTTATTTATTTTTTAAATCAACCAGAACCAATGTTCTAAAAACCTGCTTGCTGCAGTTTCTCCTAGTCTAATACCCACATGCAGGCCTTTCAAGCTTGCTGTGCGAACCTTGCCCTCCTCTCCACCACCACTGAATTCGATAAGAGCAGCTCTGGAGGGGTAACTTTTGTTCGGGACACAACAGCAACGCGCATAGGCCCCTCCTCAGGCCTCCAGCCGGCGCTGGCGCGGCCACGAGCTCCGGAGGGGAGGAAGAGAAGGGGACATGAGGCTGAGATCGCCTCGCTCGCTTCATTCTCAGCTCCCAAAGCCCCAGAGGCGCCGCGGTGCGGGAAGGTATCCGGTGCCCTGGCAAAGAAGCAGACGATCCAGTCATTCAAGCACTCAGTCGGTGCCACTAGAAACGGGAGAAAATGAGCCGCTTCCGCTGTCTGCTCCGGAGGCGCATCCCTCGGGCGGATGCTTCTTGCGGGAAAGCATGGACTGCTTTACTGGAAGCGAATCTCCTGGCTGGGAAGAGGAGCGGCAGCCGAAGGGCCCTGAGCAAAGTATCCGGGTCTGTTTCTTTTCTTTTTCTTTCCCCGCAGGCCGCATCATCACGCTCCTGCTTGGCTGGATGGCTGCTGCGACCCAGAGCCCGTGAAATGGTCCTCCTCGGATCGGAAAAGGGGGGCAAAGAAGGAGAAATGAGAGCGAGCTTCCCGCGAGAGGCCGAGGGGAAGGCGGGCGCTGCTTCCTTGAGCAAGCGCGGCTTTGGGAACAAATCCTGCAGCAGCTGCCCGGTTTTGCTTCCCAAAACAGGGAACTTAACTGAATCAAAAGCAGCGACCACACGAATTAGCCAAGGACAGCGGAGTTGGATTGAGAGCAGAGCTTCCTTTGTGTCAGGGCGCACAGTCGTGGGCCTCTGAGCATGAGCAAAATTCTCTCGCCACTGAGTGATCACAGAGAGGGTTTACGCTCCAGAGAAGCGAGCAGCACGAGGAGGAAAGGATTTTAGGCCAGGGGCGATGCTTGACGCACTGGCACCTCCTTTAGGATTTAACTACTGACGAGTTGAGAAGCTGGGAGATTGAGGGGTAGCAAGGGCTGTAGAAAAGAGCTCTCACTCCCTCTTTCCAGGTACGGATGGACTCATTCAGACGTGTCACGACAGCTTCCTCTTTTCAGACGCCTGCCATAGTGACACACATGAAGAGCTGTGACACACCACAGGCTTCTGGAAGGCATGCAAGAGTTTTGCGTGTGCGTCATTGGTGCACAGATTCCCAGGGCTGGATTGCGCCTGAAAATCGTCAAGTGGCTAGACGACTCCTATCCTAAAGTAGCATCTTCCAGCGTTAAAACATAAGCACACAACCTCCAATCATCAAGGGAAGGGAGGGGGGACTTGTGGTCCTCCAGACCTTGCCGGATTACACAACACCCACACTTCCTGACCACTGGCTATGCTGACTGGGAGTACCTGAGTTGGCCTTCAGCACCACCTGGGGGCCCACAGGTTAATCCCCCCCCGCCGCCAAATACAACCTTATCCTGATTATAACACAGCCGTCCCTTTCTTACACTCCCTATGACTCCTTCGAAAACACAAGTACACCAGCTAGTGACTATTGCACACAAGGGTGCCAACATGAAAAAAATATTGGGGGGGGGGGAGGTACACCTTGCCCAGCAGAATTAATCACATGACGCGGTGCACACACCATTTGAATGGCAATGCCCATCAACTTGGGGAGGGGGCAGTCCCCTCAATTATTTTATGGGGTCCCCCCCCAAAGACCGCTCAGCCCCTAGGAGTTGGCTCCTACGATTGCACACATACTACATAGGGGTTATACACACGCACGTGGACACACATTCACACACACACACCCCACTACCACCGCCCGGCGTTCTCTAAGCCTGCAGCCTTAAGTTTTGCTCCAGCGCGGCGCGAGCTACCGCAGACATGACCTTGCGCACCCCTTCCTGCACCTCAGCACCCTGAAGGCACACACCGCGCTTCTTCTCAGCCTCGCTGCCAGCCGGGCCGAGAAGCGCTGCCTCTCTCTGCGCCGCACACGTGCAAGCGAGCCTTACGCAGCGGCCACAGCGAAGGCTCTTCTTTCCCTGTGCTCCCTGGGCGCCCCCGCCCACCGCGGGCTCTCCCAGTCCACCGTTCCATTCGCGACGCGAAGCGGAGGCGGCAGAGGCAATTCCCGGGCCCCCTCGGTCAATTCCACCGGGACCCCTCGGCTTCCACTTTCGGCTGCCCGGAACAGGGGAACAGGGCGCTCGCAAGGCAATTAAACAGGGATTCCACCCCATTGTGACGTCAGCGGGCTCGTAGCCCCTCCCGCGCGCTATAAAAGCAGCCCGCGTACCGCAGTCGGCTCAGCAGTTCGGCGGACAGTTCCATGGTGCTGAAAGTAACTCCAGCGTTCCGGGGCGCCGCGTCTGTTGGGAACTTTGCCCCGGCCATGTTCTCAGGGGTGCGGTGCAGCCTCGTGTTGGCCTCGTTCTTCTTTTTGAGAGGATGCGCCCAGAATTTCGGGCAGACCCGGTTTATCTGCACCTCGGTGCCGTTGGATACGGACATGTGCACTTCTTCTATGCAGAGCGGCGGCAGCACGGAAGACCTGAAGACCACCGTGCTACAGCTGCGGGAAACGGTGCTTCAGCAAAAGGAGACCATCATGAACCAAAAGGAAACCATCAGGGAACTAACCACGAAGCTGGGCAGGTGTGAGAGCCAGAGCTCGCTGGACACGGTCCCCAGTGAATCCAAAACGGGAGGGGGCTCCAACAGGAAGCAGACCGGCTCTTCGAAAAACACCATGGGGGATCTGTCCCGGACTCCGGCTGCCGAGACCTTGACCCAACTTGGGCAAACTTTGCAGTCGCTTAAAACAAGACTAGAAACCTTGGAGGTACAACTTTCTCCTTTCTGTTTTTCCTTAGAACTAGAAAAGGAGACATGTCAGACGTGGCTTTGGGATGGCCGGCCCCTGCCGTCTTCGGTGTTGATTTAATGCTGCACCCTTTGCCCTGTTCCCGAGGTAAAATGTCTGCAGCAAAATTTGAAGTATTCTCTGTCACTCCCCCCCCCCCGCCACCCCGCTCCACTCTCATACAGTAGGGTTCTGTGGCAATTTGGGTGCTTCCCTTTGATAAATCGGTGCTCCTTTGCTTGGAAAGCCGCCCGTGAGTTTAGCTGCCAGGGTAGCAAACATCAGGATGAGTCTGTGGTAAATAATGCTGTGGTGTTAATTTGGTTTGCAACAATCCACTTACTCTCTTTGCTTCTCCCCACCCCGTGCAGCAATTCAGTAGGATGAATTCTTCCAGCCAGACCAATTCCCTGAAGGAGATACTCCAGAATAACATCGATGACTTAGAGAAGCAAGTCCTGTCCCGAATTAACAGCCTGGAAGAAGGCAAGTACAACCCCAAGAACGAGACTGAAGAAAGAGGAAAAATAGAAAGCACTTTAACTTCCCTTCACCAAAGGATCAGTGACCTAGAGAAAGGTAAAAAGAAGCTGAGAAAAGCTTAGATTTAAATGATCAGCATTTTGTTCCATTACACATTTGGAGGCAGCCTGAGAAAAACAGCTCACCTTCCCCCCCCCCCACCTTACAAAGCAGCCCCCCCCTTCTGTTTAAAAGAGATGAAGAAATGATTACTTTTCATTTAAATTATGAGCAAATGCAACTCTGATCCTCCCTGGAATTCATGGACAAAAGTGAGTGTGTCTCTGTGATTCTGTGTTTATGTGTAATGGGGAAGGACAGTAAATAGGTAATATCTCATTCTTCCAAAGTGATATTGGTAAAGTAGGAAAGAACTACCTAATCTATGTTAGCAAAGTATCTTTGACTTGGCACACCTATGTAGAAAAAATGCACCTTCAACTTGCTAACGTAATTCATTCATCTATATGCATTGGGGTCTACCCTCTAAGTGACCTAGGACAAGCTGTTTAACATTTTCTCCCTCCTCTAAGCAATTTGTGCATCTTAAACTTCAACAGAACCAGTTGTTGTGTCCAGACAAATACTCTGCTCCTTTCCTTTTTCTGTGTTCATTAGCGCTTTTTAGCTTTATGGTCAAAAATAAAGGGGGAGTGGGAGAGGAAAGGAGAGAAAAGACCCTATTCCCCAAGCGCTGTCCATGTGACTAGGATTAGAGTGCCGAAATGTGCTGGAGGGATTTAAACAGTGCCATCTTAAGGCTCATTATATAATGAAGAGAGAGACAGAGAGACAGACAGACAGAGAGACAGACAGACAGAGAGACAGACAGACAGACAGACAGACAGACAGACAGACAGACAATTCTATGCAAAATTCTACTGAAGGAGACTCAAGACCTTCCTGTACATTTTAGAATTACATCTATGCTATTATTCTAATAGGAGCACCCTATTTCATGTGCAATCCTATTGCACAGCACAATCCTATGCATGTCTACTCAGAAGTAAGCCCCACTGAGTTCAATGGAACTTACTCCCAGGTAAGTGCATATGATTGCAGCCTCAGTACCCTTCAAGATCTCTGACAAACACCCTCTCTATCTTCCCTCAGGCCAGAAAGACAATCGGCCAACAGATAAGTTTCAGCTGACTTTCCCCTTGAGAACCAACTATATGTATGCCAAGGTGAAGAAAAGCCTGCCAGAGATGTACGCCTTTACTATTTGCATGTGGATAAAATCGAATGCCTCCCCAGGTGTGGGCACACCCTTCTCTTATGCAGTACCTGGACAAGCCAATGAGCTAGTGCTTATTGAGTGGGGAAATAATCCCATGGAGATCCTTATCAATGATAAGGTAAGTGACCAGTGTTCTAATCCATTAATTGCCATGGCATGATCTGAAGGGTAAGGAGGGAAGAAATTTAATTAATAAAACAAGTGGCAACAAAACCAGCATTTAACATAATGGCTAAATAATGAAAACTCTGCACCCTTTCTGCAAACACCTTGTGGCATCTTTTGCACATGGTGAGTATGTATTTGCAAACCACTGGTGCTGGTCGATACTGCAGCCAGCAGTATTGGAATTCAGAAGCTTTGCTTTCAAAGTGAAAACAAAGGAAGTGAGTTAAAGCCCCCCCCCCCCAGTCTCCAACCCCATTTTCTGGAGCAACTTAAATAAAGACACCCAGGGATATCTGGGGAAAAAAGAAGAAGAATTGGAGGAGCTTATATTTAGCTTGCCCTCCAGAGAAATAAGTGATTTTTTAGAAGCCCCAGTTCCCCAATCCCTTCTCCAAAATTTAAGGTCATTATATAGCACTGTGTATGTTACCAGGCAGACATTCATTTGCAAATGAAATACAAATGCCATTAAAGAACAACTTTTACATATGCACAGTATTATTATTATTATTATTATTATTATTATTATTATTATTATTATTATTTAAAAACCCTAGCTTGTGTGACAGCACCTCCACATTTTGACACGTGTGATCGTTCCTTTTGTGTTACATTTTTCAATGGGCATGCCATCCCAAGATATATTCCAGCACAAAGAGTTATCCTTCTTGAGGTTTTCGGGGGAAAGAAAACGAAGAACCCAACAAATATACCGTAGTGTTTTCCAAAATGTGAAATAATAGAGATGTCATTTTAGAATCCTACTAATTCAAGTTAGCGTCAGAAAACCTGATCCTGTGTCATTGAAGTTAAAATAAGCATTGTCATTATCTCCACTTACTGGAGTTTTTAGAATCTAGAAAATTTGCCACCCCATGAAATCTTCATCTCTCTACCAATGGGAATAAGAAGTTTCTGTAGTTCATGTGAAAATTGAATGTTTCTCTAGTATTACATAACAGGTTCGGGAAGACCACCAGCTTGGTGAAGTCTCTAGTACTGTACAGTTCATACTTTTGCTGTTATAGGGCATGCCTGACTGCAGCAGTCTCCCTCTTCTCTCACCAGGTAGCAAAGCTTCCTTTTGTCATTAACGATGGGAAATGGCACCATATCTGCATCACATGGACAACCCGGGATGGTGTCTGGGAGGCTTATCAAGATGGCACACAACGAGGCAATGGGGAAAACCTGGCCCCTTATCATCCTATCAAGCCACAAGGGGTCCTTGTTTTGGGACAGGAACAGGTAAGGTAGCATGGTGGCAGCAGAGGAGGAAGGGGTGGCCACTGGAATTTAACAAGGTTTGCAGCAATTTGATTAGAAAGACTGGTAGAGAAGGTGCTTAGGCATTATAGTTAAAACCTGCAGATTGTGCTGCTCTGGATTAGTAGACCTAGATATTCCTCGGAACACAGGAAGCTGCCAGAGTCAGACCATTGGGTCCATCTGGCTCATGATTTTCAGCACTGGCTGGAAACTGCTCTGTAGGGTTTTGAGCAGGGATCTCTCCCAGCCATACCAGGAAATGCTGGGGATTGCAGCTTCAAATGCTACATACAGTAGACTCCGCCTTGTATTCCAGATGCCTGTTCAGCAGGTCTCATCATGCTTATGCTGGGGTCTCCAGTGCCAACGTAGCATGATTATGTCAACCTGCCACACTGGCGTTCCATACCTTCTGAACCTACAGCATAAGGCTTACTGCAGCGATAGTTTCATAGGTTGCCTGTCAGAGCCAGCATTTAGTACATTTGTTAGATGAATGCAAAGTGGTTCCGCCACGGGCAGTACAGGAAATTTGCCTCCTAAAAACAACAACTGTGGCAAAATTTGATGAAGTTTCTTAGGCATCGGATAAGAACAGAAGGAGATTAAAGAAAGGGAGGGAGGAGACCAAATGGTATGGGGGTGGTGGTGAGAGATTTCTAAAATGAGTAGGAGACACAGAAAATCACCAATCTGTTCCCTTTAGTCATGCACATTAAAGAACAATTGAACCATGGGTAGCCAACATGGTGTCCCCACACATATTGCTGGATTTCAGTGCCCATAATCCCTGACCATTGGTCATGCTGGCTGGAGCTGATGGGAATTGGAGTTTAGCAACATTTGGAGTGCACCACATTAGCTACCCCGTGAACTACACACATGTTTGCATACACAATCACTCATAATTTTAAAGAAATGGGGATTGACGTTCCCATGGAACAAGTGGGATCTTCAGTGCACATAATGATTTTGACAGTGGTAGAGACAACAATGCTGTCTAACATCTACACCTGCACATGGATACACACACACACACACACACAAACAAACAAACACACACACACCACACATACACACGAGAGTTATAATTCAAATTTTACAGGGCGATATGCAAGTCCTGGAAAGGGTCCTGTCCTCGTTGCTTCTATGTCTAAAGCTAACCAAGTATTTCACACTGAATTACACACCACAGGGCATCTAAATTTCCTTCCTGCATTTCTCATAAAAACAAGCAGTTATTTTCCCCATTACTTATCGCACAAGTGACATAGATCAACTCTGCCTGCCAGTTACACAACATGCTCACTCAGATACATTGCCATAGTCAGAAAGCGAAAGTCATGGTATCCAATTATTCTGGTGCAGGCTTTCAGTTTTTTAAAAAATATTTTCACATCCACAAAAGTCTCAAGATGGAGGATCATAGCAAATCACCACGGCCCATTTCTTTAAACACCACTTGTCTTCTTCCTCTCTCAAAACAACATGCGAGGCCTTCATTTACATGTGCATACAAATTTACATTAAAAAATAAATAAATCTGTACTGCCATTCAACATTCTCAGAGTGCCTTATGCCACAGAATGAAAGGAGAATAGAAACACTGCAAAATTTAACACTACTGATTAGAGACAGAGTTATCCAGTACTGTAAAGGTAAAACAGCCTGGGAAAATTAGAAGGTCTTTTCCTAGCACCTAGAAGATAATAGAGCGGGCTGCAGGCAAGTCTCCTCGGGGAACAACTTCCACCTCCATCCTTCTCCCTTCCAGGCATACTGGCACTGCTGGAACCAGGGGCCTAAGTTTCTATTTTTGGAAGGTCCATCCATGGAAAAAGCACTTAAAAGGCTACACGTCGCATCCTCCTTATTGAACTTCTCTGTTGCAGTTTATTCCTGCTGACCTTTGCATGCTGCCACAAAAGCTTTCTGGCTCATTTCAAGTGTTTACTCTGTCAAGACTGTAGGATTCCAAGTGTTGACTTACCTCTTGGGTCTTCTTTTTTTTAATATAAAATTTTACAATGTGCATGCCATCCTAATATATATTCCAGCACAAAGAGTTATCCTTCTTGGGGTTTTCAGGGAAAAAGAAAATGAAGAACCCAACAAAAATGCCCAAGGGTTTTTGAAAATGTAAAATAATAGAGATGCTGTTTTAGAATCCTACTAATTCAAGTTAGGGTCAGAAAACTAACTTTTAGATAAGGATATATATTGTGTATTTCCAAGGTGAGATGTTTTCAAATCTTTTATCTTCAATTTCTCTCTTCAAGGACACACTTGGAGGTGGATTTGATGCCACCCAGGCATTTGTGGGAGAACTAGCCCACTTCAACATCTGGGATCGGAAGCTCACCCCAGGGGAGATCTACAACCTGGCCACGTGCAGCACCAAAGCCCTGTCTGGTAGTGTCATAGCCTGGTCCGAGACCAACATTGATATTTATGGTGGAGCCACCAAATGGACATTTGAAGCCTGTCGTCAGATCAACTAAAAAATGCTGCTCTTCCCCACCCTTCCCATTCCAAATCCATTTAACCCTTGGTTAACAGACATTCTCCTCACCCAGGAATGAATTATGGACAAATCTATTTCCTTTCTCTCTTCTGTCTTTCTTTTAAAAAATATCTTCTTTGTTTGTTCTAAAGAATCAATCACATTTTTTTTTAATCTAGGAGACTTGGAGTTTTTCAGTCAACTCTAAGGCAACCTGGGACTTTGCAACCTTACAATTTTGAAGAGAGGGTTCATTGTCCCCCACCCCCACCCCTCTCTCCCACTCCCTCTTTTGTCCCTTTCTCCTTTGGATCGAGACTTTATTATCTTTTTCCCATTTTGCTTTATGAAGTCTCATCATGAATGGTCTGATTTTTCTGGCTTGCCAACTTTGTTTCAATGCCTGAGTGCCTTTGGGCTGGTGCGACTCTTTCAGCACATTTGTCTTCATTTGCATATACTTTTTAAAGGATATCTCTATATTCCTACTCTACTCTATGTCTTTTAAGCAGCCAGTCACCTGTGGGCAGATATTTATTTTTTATTACGAATTATTCTCTGAGTGATAGGACGATAAACGCTTTTTGAGAGACGCATGATGGTGGCGTGACTAGGAGATTTGAGGGGTGGTGGTGGTGGGGGTAGGACTGTTCTCTGAAATTCTTCAGGTCCCTCATTGCTCCCCCACCAATTGTGTAAACCTCTGGCTATGGCTGGAGCAAACAGAGCCATCTTTGCCCCCCAAGGGTACATGTGAGACTCAGGAGCATTGCCAGCTCAAGGATCCTAGACGACTTGTCCAGATCCTTGGTCTTTTGTAGGAGCAGCTGGCTCCTACCTATTTTAATGGAGCTGCAGAGCAGCTCCCTTCCCTTGTCTGCCTTCATTTTGCTGTACAGCCTAAAGGATCTGCCTCTGTTAGCCATCACAAAGCCTATGCGTAGTCCAGAAAACCTTCCTTCCACAGGCATTGATTACTGCTTCTCCCAAAACTCTGTGACCCAAAGATGGCAGAAAATCACCCGGTCCATCCCCTTACCTCTCCCTTCCTGGTTCCACAGCAGGCTCCTACTTGCCTTCCCCTCCAAAGGTAATGCACCCTGGGCCTTTCCCCAGAATACTTGGCTTGAAGATGGGACTATTTTCTTATGACTTTATGAGGCATTCCCAAACCCTTACCAATGCTCCTTTACTCTCACTAAGAGCCATAAACCTGAAGGGCTGGGGTAGGGGGGAGTTTTAGTGGTAGTCGGATGCAAAGCATGTGGTTGCAGTCCGATTTCCATGGCCATACCGCTGAGCTGAGATTTTTGCCTTTTAAATACAAATTGGGTTCACTGCAGGTGGCAGGATGTATAGCGCAAGGAGCCTTGCCTGCCCTGTGCTTATTGGACCCAATGAGATTTGAGGTATACTTTACTTTCATAAAGGTTCATAGCTCTTCCTTTGTGAAAGGAATAAGGAACTGCTTGAGAGAGGTTTTAAGCAAATGTGTCAAGAAACTGAATAAAGGGCAAATCCTGGTATTGCTCCAAAGCCCCAGGGAATTAAGAAGAGGCTGTGACCTCGCCATGCATCTGTTTTGCCCAATAACCAGAAACAGAGCCTGCACTATGTTTTGTTTTTTTAAAAAAAGAACAGCACAAGGGATACCTAACAGACTGTATGTCGAGCCTTCAGATAAACCTCTGCAAAAAGGCAAAATGTGCGTTTCTTATCGTGCTATAGACGGAGCTGTTTGCATCTTGAAGGGCACCAACTATTTTAGGAGGCTGGGAAGGTGTAGCGGTTGGCCTTTCTTGCGAGGATTGTGTTTTGGTTAGATAAGAGTGCCTATTTTACCACCTTTAGTGACAATGGGTTGCATAGTGCTCTTTATAGATTCCGTCCTAGTTTATGGTACCCTTAGATTTCCTGCAGGCTTATAGGGAAGGCAAGGGGTGTACTGTCGTTTCTTGCATGTTTTCAGTAGGTGCCTCAATCGTGTTTTACCTGGTCTAATGCTTGCCTGCTTGCATGGGCTAATGCAGAGCTGCGGGGGGTTTGCTGAGTGATAGTTCATGCTTTAAAAACAATTCAAAAACTAAAGTCATCCAAGCACGATAGTATAGGTCAGGCATGGCTGGAAAAAGGTGGCTAATGATACAGCATTCTTCCCCATGATAAACAGCACTACACGTTTTTGTATTAAAAAAGAGAAGAAGAGCCACCAGTTAAAATATTGGTAACTTTAAAAGAAATCAATTCATGGGAACTGCTCCACTCAGCTTTGTCTTTTCCTATAAGTCCTGGAGAAGCCAGAGCTCTTAATCCAGTAGTTGTGCTGTCCTAAAAAAGCAGCTATAGGAGCTGTTCTTTAAGCATTTCTGCGGTGCAACGGTACACTGTGCTGCTGAATCAGTCCTGTTGATATTTACCAACCTGGATGTACTTGGAGCTGTCCCTTCAGCACCACCATGGGTGGGTATTTTCCATGACAGACTCCCTGGGAGCTGTCCGTTCAGCACCAAGGCTGCTCTAGCGAGCACAGAATAAATAGTTGATCCAGCCAAACTCAAGCCTACTGCTTAATACGATTGATGTCCCCACTTGCACTGAATAATACATGCCTCTCTCAGGTAATGCCCTTTTATAAAAACATACATACAAGTAAAGAGCACTGCACAGGCAGTGCATGTGTTTGCCTAAAGACTGTCTGACAGTTCCCAAAGGCCTCCTTCTAAAGGAGGTGTTTTCACTGGCCATTTACACAGGTGTAGTTCCACTGACGAATATAAGGTCACAGCAGTTTAGGTAATCAGCGAAGCATTCTCCGGCAAGTGTTCCTAAACATGGGTAACTTAGAAGTCCTATTCACTTCCCTAGGACTTAACTTGCAATCAGTGTATAGAAATCACAGCTCAAATGTGATATTAGTTGAATCAGCATTTTCTCTCCCTTGAAGGGTTAGCTACTCTTTGAAATGTCAAGCCTTTCTGCTTTTGTAAAACAAAATACACACAAATTATTTCTCTTGTTGTAAAAGGAGTTTACTACCAAGAAAGGTATTTTTATTAGAAAAGAATATATGTAGAAAAACAGGTATCCCTGAAAAAAATACTTTTGAGCTACAGATGGATAAAAGGATGATAAAGCTTATTTTGAGATAAATAATATTTTATATGGTTTCTTTTTTTAAGAAAAAGAATTTCTGGTTTGTACTAATAGTCTGCAGCCATCACCCCTTTAAACGACCTCGCCCTCTCTCATCCTGGTCAAGGAGTTTTTCTTGGCTGTGAGTGAAAAGGGAGGTGTGAAGGATAGAATTTGTGAGGCTCACTGAGCCATTTTGACCAACCCTAAAGCTGTGGCAAATGAATATGCAGCATGGATGGGCATGTAATAAGCAGTTCAAGGTCGATGTTGCACTATTGAAAGGTTGCTGCTCATCAGATATTGAAGTGGGTCATGTGACCACCCTATGAAATCACAGTGCTAGAGCACTAGGAGAGGGGGTTGGAAATCTATCTAAACATAATCAACACAAACCCAGCCTAGTTATCTTACTTTTAAATCTTGGCTCAGGGCAGCATATTTTAAGCAGTGCTCTTTGAAAGCAAAACCAACCAATCCCAACAAAATTCTACCTTGTTAGATCAATCTGCTAACGACCCTTATTGGAAACCTTCTTGTAACTAATAATGAATGTTAAGTGTAAACTGATGAAGGGGGGAAAAACATGTCAAGGTAAATAAATCCAGTCCAAATTGCGCAGGATTTGCCAAAATAAAAATAAAAATAAAAAGGGTGATAGTGATAAAATTGTATATACTGTACAGCGCGAAAGAGGATAAATGTTTCTTGAGTTGTCATTCTGTTAACCAAAGCTGTATATTTTTCCTATTTCTTGCTATCAGTCTTTACTGGGTTTTGAATGAGTTGATGTTATATCTTACATCCACAGTCCACATCAGCAATTCTTAAAATGCACTGTTTCTACTGGTTCTTCATGCTGTTTTTTTTCTTTCCTTTTTTCATTTTATTGCTTAAACTACATGAATTGTCGAATTTATTTTTACACAATAAAGAGTGATGAAAGACAACAGGGCTGCAGTCATTTTCCCCACCAAACTTTCCTCTCCCAGAAAGGACCCCAGTACAGCCAGGAACTCCCAAAGTCAGCTCCACTTGGGAAGAAGCATGTCTTGTGCTGCTGAGTTGGCAGCAGCAGAGACACCTGCAGCACAGATTGTGGCCTGCTGCCATGGTTCCGCAAAGCCAGTCCTGAAAACAACTGCATATGCTCTCTGGCCAAGTGAACCAGCTGACCATTGCCTGTGGTAATCTCCCTTTTCCTGCCAGTTCTTCTGTCTAAACAATTATGGTTGCCAGCTTTTGCTGCTTTGGGATGCCCAGTTTTGCTTTCATCTCTATCCAGCTGATCTCCTGCACATACCTCTTGTGTTTTTTCCCCTGGCCCAACCCTATATTGGGATAAGAGGACTGAGCAACATATATTCTCATCCCCTGTCTCAATGACTTGAACCCTTTACAGCAGTGTTCCCCAACCTTCGGCCTCCAGCTGTTTTTGGACTACAACTCCCATCATCCTTGACCACTGGTCTTGCTAGCGAGGGATGATGGGAGTTGTAGTCCAAAAACAGCTGGAGGCCCAAGGTTGGGGAACACTGCTTTACAGGGCTGTAAACAAATTGGTTGATCCCTTGGTGCTTGTCTCGTGCAGCCTGCCCCTGTTCTTGACTTCTTTCGCTGGCACTGGTAATTCAAGAGACCAGAGGGACAAAGCAAGAGGCGTGAACTAGCATTTCAGTGATGATATTGCGTATCTCCCTCTCAGCAGCAGAGACTAGGAGATGCAAGTGAGGGAACACCAAAGAAGTGGGTGGGATCTCCAAGTGTGATTTAGGACAGCTATGGTCATGCTACACAGACAAGCCCTAGTCCTATTATGTCTCTCAGAGCCCCAGAGACTCCACATCAACTTCCACTTTGGCAGAGCCAGTTAATGACATCTCTGAAAAGTCACCTCCCGTCTCTCTCTTTCATCCCTGCCTTCTGGTTGTCAGGGAAACAGCATCTTGAAACCTGACTCTCCTTCATTATGTGCATGTGACCCTAACGTAAAGCCTCTACTCTCTAAGAGAGCTTGATGTCAGAGTTTGCCCTATTTCTTTTTTAAATGGTTCTATGCACATTGTGCACTAAGGAGGAGGGATTTTGGTGGAGTGAGAGGAAGGGAGAAGGCCTCTTATTCTTAGGAAGCTGATTTTGCTTCAGAAGAACTAAGCAAAGCAGTGTATATTTCTTTCCTGAGGAATAATTCCAAACAAATCTGCAAATGCTTGGAGCACATGCAGCCAGAATTTCAGCAACAGGTGCAAATTTAATTTATTTACAATATTTGTATGCTGTCCAACAACAAATGTTCTCTGAGCGGTTGACAGTCAGCTTAAAACCAGCAAAAGGAAAACGCAAAGCACAACATAAAAGCAAATTAAATAAAGCTACCAGCACTAAAACATTAATACAACACAGCATAACAAAACACACACAAAGATTAAAACACCCGTGGCAAATAAAAAGGTCTTCACCTGGAACCAAAAATTAAAACCTGGATGCCAGCAAGCCTACCTGTGGAGGGCAGTGGCTATGAGGATGAAATGGCAGGGATAGCCAATGTGGTACCCTCCAGGTATTGTTGAATTACAACTCCCACCAGCTCCAGGAAGCATGACCAATAGTCAGGTATGATGGGAGCTGTCCAATATCTGGAGGGTACCATCCCTGGTTGAATGAAATAGCCAGTGTTGTCAGCTTCCTCCCTTTGGTGAGAGGAAGGACAATAGGGAATGTACTCAGTCCTACTCAACTCCAATTATTACATCCGCTAATAGAGGTTGCGCAAGTCATTCACCCAATAATAATGGGCTAACAGAGGGAGACGGGTGGCGCTGTGGGTTAAACCACAGAGCCTAGGACTTGCCGATCAGAAGGTCGGCGGTTCGAACCCCTGCGACGGGGTGAGCTCCCGTTGCTCGGTCCCTGCTCCTGCCAACCTAGCAGTTCGAAAGCACGTCAAAGTGCAAGTAGATAAATAGGTACCGCTCCGGCGGGAAGGTAAACAGCGTTTCCGAGCGCTGCTCTGGCTCGCCAGAAGCAGCTTAGTCATGCTGGCCACATGACCCAGAAGCTGTACGCCGGTTCCCTCGGCCAATAAAGCGAGATTAGCGCCGCAACCCCAGAGTCGGCCACGACTGGACCTAATGGTCAGGAGTCCCTTTACCTTTACCTTAACAGAGGGAAACTGATGATTCAGCAAAGGGATGGAAGAGTTCCCAGAAAACAACTTTGAGAAAGTGGATTCCTGTTACTACTGCCCAGTATGTAGTTGTCTTGAGCAGATCTCTCTGTAACGTGAGAACGTTTGCTTTATTAGCAAAAAGGAGCAACTTTTCTTCCTTGGCACCACCTTTGCATATGTTTCTGCTGCTCAAGAACCAGAAGGATTGAAGACCATAGAGGATGGAACAGAGGAGTTTGCAGTGTTCACCATTTCCAGGATAGTGTGGTTTGGGTATATTTTTCGTTTCACCCTGGGGCTTGCAATGCCAACTGTGAGTGGCACACTCAGTGGATGCTGGGTGTGTTTGTCAACTCCATTAATCACACAATTGTTTCACACAAGAAGCTGGGCAGCCAGGTGAACAGTGCTGGCCTGCAACAGGGAAGTGGCATGTAATTAAGAGTAAGTGATCAACTAGGCCACCTAATAT